AAATATAAACTTTATGGTCAAGATTATCTGAATCAGGTACCGGAACACGATTTGGATCCTACTGATGATATTGAACAGCGACAAAAAGGTTTCCGTAAAATGTATGATGATGTTTCTTCTCGTCTTCTGAAATCCCAAGACCGTAGTAAGAAAGTTTTTGATTCCCATAGGCGTATGGTTACTTTTGCACAGGGTGATAAAGTTTGGCGAAGAAACAGAGTTCAGTCTGATGCTATCAATTATTTCACGGCGAAGCTTGCTCCTAAGTTTGTCGGACCTTTTAAAATTCGTAGAAAAATTGGTGCTTGGACATATGAGTTAGAGGATGAGCAAGGAAACCAAAAGGGGATTTGGCATGTTCAAGATCTCGAGTTGGATCAATCGAATCTCGACAATAATTTTCCAGATTAGGTTAATCATCCTAATATTGTATCTTCATCAACAACGTTCGTTCTTGGTTACTTAAATTCATTCTAATTATCGTCAGTAAAGTTCATGGAACTTCACTTCCTCCGGAAGAAGAGTGGGAGTTGTTACAGTTCAAATTCAGTAGAATCATAAGTACTCATTTTATTCATTAGTCATGAGTTTGCTTCATTTCATTGAGAAGAATCTACTACTACTATTTCTATGATCCTCAGTGTGCATACCAAAAACGTTCGTTCGTTGAAGAATACATCGTGCATATTGTTTTTCTGATCACCTTGTATAATATTTTTGTGCATTTGGCTATTCTTCATTGTTATGGATCCTTGGTGACCGATAAACATCAAAGGTTTGGCAAATGTTTGACAGTTGTCATAATTGAAGTGAAGTTTCGAATTCAACGGGTGTTACGGGTTCTTTCCTGTGGTGACGATACGAGAGTCGGCTTGTGATACCGTAGCAGGTTTCAATAATCATATATAATCACTTATAGTGGATTTCTATTGATTACCTGTATGTACAATCTTCCTTTTATTATTGTGGACTAGTAGAGTCATTGTGATTTGTCATACAAAGGAAGATTTCCCATATTGGGGATTTTTACGAGTTGTCACATGCCGCCATTTTGAACCCTCCAGACGCTGAGGTATGTACCGTATGTTTGAGAATTTTGCAATGTTTAATTCTACATTATCATAGCGTTCACTCCTACCCCCTTCGGGTTAATTCTACCATCCGCACCATCGAGCTAGCAGGTACATCTGACTCTGAATCTCTAGATCAGGCTGAGGACTTTGAGGTTACTTCAAGTGTTTGTTGGAGGCCACGTCTATCCAACGCTGAATTAACACAAGTGCGGCATCCTCCTCAATATTCAGGGCAGAAAGTTTTTGGACTGGTAAAAGACAGGACCGTAACTGTATATATGTAGATATATATCTGTATCTCAACTTTATAATTCTATTTTTCAAACTTCACACTATATCGTTTCCGGGAATTAATTTGCATAGAGCTTTTCAATCTAAATTTTACATACATATTATATTCAACAGTGATATTTATCAAACCTTCATATATAGAGTGTTGGGCTAGTAATTAGAGACACTGATCTCGAGCCCATTAATATATATTTTCCAGGACCACTTCCAGTTGTCAGCCCCTTGTGATCACAACGGGACATCGGAAGATCTACCTGGTCTTGTACTTGCCAGGGACTTTGGGGTAACGTACATGTATTTTCTCCTGAAGTGAATGATTCATTGAATAGAGGTTTGTAAATATACTGTCAGAGTTTTTGTATTCCACCAACCTTTCCTATACTCGAGAGATATGTGTAGTCTTCATACCACACCACACCATTAATTTATTTTCTATTCATTATTTCAACGCTCATTATTGTTACAATCACTTGGAATTCTCCATCAATATCAGGAGCAGCCTGTGAGTTGGACTGGCTCTTACAATTCACTGGCGCGATATAAATTTTTCTGGTTCGAACCCATAGCATTGATTGAGTTAGTCGGTGACTGCTGTGCTTCCCCTTGCATTCCAGTGATTAGATAGTTTTATTCAGAAACAGCGTAGCAACTTATGAATTAATATTTGAAATTTTACTTCATCAATTATTATTCATGACACTAAAAACATTAATCGAAATGCAGAAAGGACACAAATTGAATTAACCACTATGTTATTCCCACTTGTATAAATACCTATACAACCCAGAATGATCATTCAAAAAATAGTGAATGACCAATTTGATTTCTGGATAAATGTGAATCACGTCACAATGCGAACAACAATTAACTTGGGAATTGCGAATGTCGATATTTTATGACCGATATTCCACTAACAATATAATGATTGTCAATTATCGATGTCGAATTCGTTACATCGAATGGCATTCAATTTGCGTATGCCGCTTAATATCAACTTCACAATTTAGTGATGCCAAAACGGTTCTACTAAAAATATTTGAATGGTCGAATTCGAAATCATGGTCATTTGCATTTTACGACATTCAAAATTGCAGATGTAATCGGTCTGGTCTACGATCCGTATTAGGCGTATTGTAAACGTCCATCATCTTCCGGTTCGAGAGTTCAAAACAATTTATTTGATATCCATGCATGCTTGACATTTTCAAGAAAAAACCGCATCGATTATAATATAATGCAAATACATCAATAATTATTATTGAATTGATGGTTTATTCTTCGAATACATGACATCTGAAAATTATTCTATCCGTTATACTGATGATCGTTAAAAATTTTACTGTTAGACACCTATTTATAGTTTTTTTCTGCAACCGACACAAAAGTCGTCCACTTTAATACCAAAATTAGCTCTCAAAATTGACGTTTGAATCACTGACACAAACATACAGTATGACCGATTTTCAATGGAAACACCCCCCTAAAATTTGAAGTTGTGAACCGATTTCAATAATTTCTTTGAAGTACTAAAAGGTCTACCTTGGGACAAAATTTGAAATGTTTTTTTAAATTTTCAGGAAAAAATACATTTTTTCTTAGTCGAAAATCGGGATTTTTAATAAGCGATTTTTTTATTGAAAAAATCACTACGCAACTGGATTCAGAGTGCCTCTAAACAGGTGTGACCAAAATTTCATAGAAAAATATTCAGTCAACGAGCAGTCACAAAAAACACCCTATATCAAAAGATATATATAGCCATGAGAATATTTTTTTTTGAAAAAGTATCGTAGTGTGCCCTGAAATTTGGAATAAACATTTCAAATTTTGTCCCAAGGTAGACATTTCAGTACATGACATTTTAAATAAAGAAAACAAAATCGGTTCACAACTTCAAATTTTAGGGGGATGTTTCCATTAAAAATGGGTCACACTGTAGGTATGTTGCTATGCAACAGTTTTAGTGTTGCCTAGCAACCTAAAAATGATCATCAAGAATAAACACCATAATAAAGTAAAATGAACATTGTTATAATTGGTTATTTGGGTTGGGACAAATACCCGATTTGTTCCCGATTTCGGTAGATTTGGCATATCATACTTATGCGGGAGACACCTTATTATAGTTGGGTATTTTCGTGTTGATCAGGAAAGCCTTCAAGATTCACATACTTGCTTGATCTGTATTTCATTCATTCTCGGGATCTGATTAATTGGATAACTTGTTCTTGAATAATCACGGCCAGCAATACAGCAACACAGTGGAATATGGAGAGAAATAAATAATCGCTATTATTATTGTTGATATGCTCACTAATCAAACATTTTCCACTTCCTTTTCCTATTTTCCAGGGTTGGGCTGATTTAAATCAATTGATTTAAATCAAGATAAAAATCATGATTTAAATCGAGTGATTTTTTTTTAAATCACAATTTAAATCAAAATAATAATTTCGAGAACATTTATTATTTATTTGAATAAAAAAAATATTAAACTGAAATAAAATAGTAAAACCCCTAAAAAAACGGGATATTAAACATATTATTAACATATACATATGTATATCTTAATCATACTCTACATTATTTTATAATCATAAGTTTTCTGACATTGAAACTAACATAGAACATTCTAATTTTCATTATAAAAAGGTACAGAACACTCGTTCCACTGAGGCTGAAGAAGCAATAGCACAAAGAAATTGTTTTAACACAGGTATCTGTTTCTTGATTTCTGATTCATTGTCAGCTTGTGATAGCCACCACTGAATTCCACTGACGTTTTTCGTAATTTCTTCAGAGAACATGATGTTTTTGAAGGGCAAAGAACGAGCATTAAATTTTATTAGTAAGACAGTCAACCTGTACTTTTGCTTAGATGGGTCCATCATATAAGCTATCAAGTGGTAAGGGGTCAGTGCTTGTTCATATCGGCGCTGAAATTTTTGAAGCTGTTGAATTGATAGATTTTGATCTTCTTCAAAGATATATTTTTCCATTGTTCCACGGCATTTGAAAGAGTATGTTGACATGAATGTTGACAGGTACCTATATTTATCGCGCATTAAGACCAAAATAAAAAAAAATCAAAAAAATCAAAAAAATCATGATTTTTTTATTTAAATCAATGATTTTTGATTTTTTTTTTTAAATCAAGATTTGCCCAACCCTGCTATTTTCTCACCACACGGATCATTTGTTGCATTGCATATAATGACATATGGCACGGCATCCAGATTTCGGGTATAGTATTGAACTCGTATCTGATGGTGCCCGAGAATTTTCGGAAAGTCCAGGAATTTTTCAGGAATCCCTTGAGAAGTTGAGGATATCCATGTGTAATCCCAAGATTTCCTTGGGAAGTCTCAGGATCTTCTCATCAGGAAGGCAGACATTTTTCATGAAGGAGTCTTGAAATTATTTTTGGGATTTCGAATTTTTCTCTGGGGAAGGGGATTTCCTTGAGGAGTGACGAAATGCCTGGGACAATTGGGATATGCTTTTGAATGCCAAGAAATACTTTGGAATGCCGGTAAATATTTTGGGAAGCCCGGAAAAGTTTTAGAAAATCAGTGTAGGTTTTAGGAAGCGAGGGAACGATTTGGAAAGCCATGAAAGGTTTTGGGAAGCCAGGGAATGCTTAGGCAAGCCAAGGAAAGCTTTGGAAAGCCAGGATATATTTTGGGAAGACAGGGAATGCTCATACAAGCCAGGGAATGCTCTGGGAAGCCAGGGAATACTTTGGGATGCCAGTATATATTTTGGGAAGCCCGGAAAGGTTTTAGAAAGTCAGGGTGGGTTTTAGGAAGCGAGTGAACGATTTGGGAAACCATGAAAGGTTTCGAGAAGCCAGGGAATGCCTAGGCAAGCCAGGGAATACTCTGTGATGCCAGTTAATATCTTGGGAACACAGGGAATACTTTGGGAAGCCAGGATATATTTTGGGAAAATAGGGAATACTTTGGATAGCCAGGATATACTTCGGGGAGCCAGAGAAATTTCGGTTCGTGATCCACCTATACGTTCGAATAACGATCATAAGTCATATAATCCATCAAAAGGTAACCTCAACATCGTCTGAGAAACCATGTAAGGTTTTGGGAAGCCAGGGAATGCCTAGGCAAGCCAGGGAAAACTTTGGGATGCCAGTTAATATCTTGGAAACACAGGGAATACTTTGGGAAGCCAGGATATATTCTGGGAACATAGGGAATACTTTGGGAAGCCAGAAAATACTTTGGGGAGTCAGAGAATTTCGGTCCGTGATCCACCTATACCTTCGAATAACGATCATATGTAATTCAGCAACAGGTAACCTCAACATCGTCCTCTGATTGTTCCAGATCCGTACCCTAGCGAGCAGACGCGCGCCTACGACGAAATGTGCGCCACTGCTGCCGCCACCTTCGGCGACGCCTTCCCGGGCGGCGGCGGCGACGCCTTCCGCAAGGGCGGCGTAGGCGGCGTGGGAGGCGGGGCGGGCGGGGTGGGTGGTGGAGGGGGCGGCCCGCCCGCCCCCGGAGTCATCCAATCGCCCCCCGCCGACCAGAGGGGCGTGCAATTTGCGCAGCCTGGCGCCGTTTTGATGGTGTACGGGCTGGACGCGTTGCGGACCAATGCCGATAAGTTGTTCAATTTGATGTGCTTGTATGGGAACGTGGCGAGGGTGAGTTTTTTTTCGACATTTCTATATAGGGTGAGTCATAACTGTCTGTAAGTTAATCGAGGAGGTAGTACATTCATTTTACTTGATTCTTTGGAATTTTCTCTCCTCTTTTCTATAAAATGAAAATATTTGTATATTATTTCAATATATTTGTAGTGGGACAACTTGCCTCAAAATGTCACTACGTTTAACAAATTCTTCTATCAAGGAGTCTAAAAGAACAATCCAGTAGCTTGTCAGTGACAATTTGTTTGAAAAACTTTGAAATATTTTTTATCATTATATTCGAAATATTTTGTATTGTCTTTGCACTTTTTTCGATTTCGGATAAAATTTAGAATGGGCTGAATACTTCAATACAGGGTGTTCTCGATGTACGGAACACGAATAAGAACTTTTTCTCTATCAGCTGCTAGTTTTCAAATTATTTCGAATATTCTGGCGACTGAGATTTCCATACAGGAAATAAATTCATAACTTTTTAAATCCAAGCCAAATTTGAAGATTCAACAATTTCGAATTTCTCGTCCGTTTTTCTCCATCTGGCCTTGTTTTTTCAGTAATTTTTAATATTCTGGCGACTGCTTGGTCACTGAGATTTTCATTTTCGTTCCAAAAACAGCTCTTGAAGTGGTTGTTTCTCTTACTGACACAATAAAATGATTATAGTATATATTTTGCTAGGCAACACTTTTAGTGTCTAGGAGCTTTAGTTGAACTTTTACTCCTAGGAATCAAAAACGTGTCGGATTACAGCTGATATGATAGCTGCTTTGACACTGACATGCTCAAGTGGCACAAAATAGTGGTATTTACACTCATATTTTATTAATTAGATATCTACTATTCCGATTTCAGAAAAAATAGCAAGTTTCATTCGGATCAAAAGTGACTTTGTTCAACCCGCAAATATTGCTTTCTCTCGGCTTCGCTGGACGCTCCGCCTCGCAAATGCAAAATTCGCTTGCCAAACAAAATGTTACATTTCATCCTAATAAAACAATGTACTATTTTTGTTCCTATATTGCCGATATTCTATTATTGGGGCACCCTGTACAGTAATTGAAGTTATGGCGGGCTTTTTCAGATCAAATTTCTGAAATCGAAAGAAGGCACCGCCATGGTGCAAATGGGCGATAGCGTCGCCGTCGAAAGGTGCGTCCAAAATTTGAACAACGTCGCCATTGGCGTCACAGGAGCCATTCCATTGACGCATCGCTCCAACAACATGGCATCAGACCAACATCAGGACGACACAGCCAAGGTAGGCAATAACAAAGTTTGGATAACTGATTTGCTGATCAATGGTATCGCAATAAGCACATTTTTGCACTAAATTCAACATTCAATATGGTCACGATTACTGTACAGGGTGGCCAACTAAGAATCCAGAGTTCGATACCTCTGTCATCTTGAGAGATACAAAACAAAGTTTCGCATTCAAATTGAAGTGATAACCGAGCTTCACATTTCAAAATTTCTTTGAAATACACAGGGTGTTCCGTAAGGTCACAGCACATCAAAGCTATGTCTTTTACATTGGAACACCCTATATATTATTTCATTTCTTAATTCTGCCTGAAGATCTGATTTTAACGACCCATCATACTTTGGGTCTAGCAGTGGATGTTACTGACATATAGGGTGTGCAAAATCGAGATTTTCCAAGTTCAGGATTTTTTTCTGTCCAAACTGCTCATTATTCGTCAAAACTTTTTACATGTCCCTATCTCAACTTTTCACTCACTATCAATTGGTGTTCAATTGACATTTAATCGAAACAAATTATAAATTTAGATTTTTTGACCACCTTGTATCAATTTCAATTGAACACCAATCGATAGTGAGTGAAAAGTTGAGATAAGGACATGTAAGCCGTTTTGACGAATAATGAACAGTTTCGACAGAAAAGAATCCTGAACTTGGAAAATCTCGATTTTGCACACCCTATATGTCAGTAACTTCCACTGCTAGACCCTTAGTATGATGGGTCGTTGAAATCAGATCTTCAGGGAGAATTCAAAAATGAAATAAAATATAGGGTGTTCCAATGAAAAAAACATAGCTTTGATGTGCTGTGACCTTACGGAACACCCTGTGTATTTCAAAGAAATTTTGAAATGTGAGTCTCGGTTATTAGTTCAATTTTGATACATGACTTTTTTTTGTATCTCTCAAGACAACAGAGAAATCGAACTCTGGAGTCTTAGTTAGCCACCCTGTACATATTCGGTTGTCTTCATTTTGAAGATGAATCTATTTGAGATAAACTGCTTGACAAATGAAATGTTCCATCTGAATACTCACTCCAATGCTTACATCAAATATAAAAAGTATATATAACAGTATTCCGGAGAACTTGAAATTACTGATCAATCAATATGAATCACTGACCCAATATAAATCTATTCAAATTTCAACTGAGTTACCTATTACCTACTTGAAACTGGTGGATTTGTGCATCAATATTTCGATAATTGGAGAAAAGGAAGAATTTTACGTCACTATCGCGATCATGCAAAAGCATCGAAAACTGGACACACTGTATGTCATCTGAATGGTATTTTAGTTTCAAGAATAGAAAAAGTTTCAATAATGGGCGAGTGGACTGGTAATGAATTATTGACATTCAATAACTCCACAGTGTCGTTAAGAACCTAAATTAAGTTTTAAAACACTTCTCACGCTTTCTTATTCAAGAAAATGAGTCTTACGTTTTTCGAAACTGTTGGATTTCAGAGCTCATTTCATGGCTGTTTTGTTATTGGTCAGATAATCTTTCATTTCCACTCATGAAGCAAGGTTTTCGAGTCACCAATTCTAATCAAGTTGTCAAAAAGATGTTTGAGTCCTGTCGTTGTTTAAAACATAATAGGAGGAACCCATGATGTTTTAGTTCATTGACTTATACTCCATGGCAAAATATCATGTGAATGTTGGAGACTTGGCAACATTGTGCTGAATGCTGAGAACTGACAAGACCACGCTCACAAGTCGTGCGCCGTGGTTGTCACGTTCACCGATTCAAATAACCTCTAATGTGAATTATTATAATTATTATTTATACAAATTCATTGTAACAATAACCCACAAATCATAAGGGAACATTTTGAGAAAATTGAATTGTTTTTTTTTGCTAATTAGGAGTATTGGAAACACTCAATTGAGAATTTATGAATTTTCAAATAACTAATATTTCTGAAGTTCCCAACTATGGTCTGCCTCTACTTACGAAATCGTGAAATCAGTTCTTACTGGCGGTAAATTTTCTAGCCGTTTGAAAAATTAGTGTGGCATCATTGATGATTCTAGCACCTAAAAATTGATCAAAAATTTCTTAAAAAATTTTAAATGGAAAGGTATTTGAGTGATGATTCTATTTAAGAAATAAAAAAAAATTAGTCCAGATTCGAACCGACAGCCCCTCTGCATTGTAATTCGTAAACGGCTATCTGAAGGTGGAGCACTTCATTTGTCAAGCAGTTTATTTTTGGAAATTTCGAATTCAAATTACGATTTTGCATTTGAAGAAGGGACATTTCCCATTAATGAGCAATTCAGTATCAAAACAAAAATTCGATAATGCCCTATTTAAGAAACATGAATGATCCGTCAATATGATGATGATATGAAAAGACAAATCCATAAAAGTTGCATTTCACTATATTATTTGAAGGAACACAAGCTGCAGTTGGCTTTCAGCAAGCAGCCGTACCTCAGCGAAGTCACGAACCCTTATCCCTTACCGGACAAATCGCCCTCCTACAAATTGTACGTCAACAACAAGAACAACAGGTTCATGAATCCTGCGATGGCCAGCAAAAATAGGATACAACCACCCAGCAAAGTGAGTATCGCTAAATTGCATAGTTACGAAAAGGGTACTCAAAATCGGTCTGTTTCAGCAGGGAATTTTATTTATTTATTATTGAATTGGTGATATTAGGAAATATCTGAGTACGCCATGTGATTACAGAATTTTTATATTGTGAGAAATCAAAAGGATGAAAAGTAGTAATGTCGTAGATCTCGATTCGAAACAGATCAATTCCGACCACCCTATACATGCAAGTTTTGTTCAAATGATTAATCACGTTTTTGAGTATCAATCAGAATCAGACTTATACGACATTTTTTGTTGAACGAAGAATGATTATCGGCCTTACGAATTGACGAACACGTGACCAACTAGCCAATAACCAACTTGAGACGTTTTTCAATGTCATATAAATAATAAGTATTAGATTATTTTCATTCATTCGGCTGTAATCTCCCAAAAATTTTGAAAGAACCTCAAATAATTCGTACTGAAGTTTCATTTCCATTTCGTATACAGGACCTCTATCTTGAGCTATTTTTTGCTACGTTTTTGGCAGATTTCATAAAAAATTAGGATAATTCGTATACAGGGTGACTGGAATTCGAGCTCCATCATTGGGATCTCGTAAACCGTGAGAGATACAGTGTCGGTTAAATCATGGCAAAGTTGCGCAATATTATGTCAAACAAAATGCCGTATCTAAATTCGAAAAATTCCTAATGATTCCAAAGATTTTTGGAAATAACATAATATTCGCTATTACATTTTTATTTTTTTATGACTCTATTTGAATAGATGTAACAAAACAAATAACATATTCACATTGCGACTTTTTTTGTTCTACAAGATGGTGATGTCAGAGTTTTCAACCTACGTTTCGTCTTTGAGCTGCTATCATCAACTTTGTTATTTTTTAATACGGCCCTGTATTTTCGATTATGGATTCAGAGCTTCCAATTTCCTGAAATCAACGGTGTATCGCATTTATTCGAAAAGGGTGATAGATTTTATCACGATTTTATCCCTTATATCATGTAACAATATAACAGATGGATTCTTATGAAAAATGCCAATAATATGAATTTCTTGAATACATGGGATACATCGTTGGTTTTGAGAGATTGAAAGCTCTTGAAATCTATAATAAAAAATACAGGGTCGTATTCAAAAAACAAAGTTGATGATGGCAGCTCAAAGACGAAGAGTCCGTTCAATAACATGATTATATCATCTAGTAGAACAGATAAAGTAACAATGAGAACGTGTTATTTGTTTTGTTACATCTATTCAAATAGTCGTAAAAAAATAAAAATGAAACGTCGGTTCAGAAATCTGATTATACCATCTAGTAGAACAGAAAAAGTAGCAATGATAATGTGTAATCTGTTTTGTTACATCTATTCAAATAGTCATAAAAATAAAGACAAAATGGTGAATATTCGTTATTTTTTTCAAAAATCTTCGTAAAATTCGAAGTTTTTTAAATTTCAAAACGATATCTTGTTAGGCATAAAATTGCTCAACTTTGTCATAATTCAAGCGACCCTGTTTCTCTTACGGTTCACGAGATCCCAATGATGAGGCTTGAATTATAACCACCCTGCACATGAAAACTCAGATTTATTCAATTTTGAAATAGTCATACGAATATAAAACACGTCATATTGCTTTTTCAAAAATAAAAAAATTCGACTCGCTGATTCGATTTCCTCGCCTATGACTCGTTGTTTTGACATCAATTTCATTCGCGTGATGACTGGAACAATTCTTAATGGATAATCGATCAATGTTCGTTGCAGATCCTCCACTTTTTCAACACCCCACCGCAAGTAACAGAAGAAGAATTGATCCAAGTATTCAAGGACTACGACGTGGTGCCGCCGAAAGCTGTGAAATTGTTTCCCATGAAGTCGGAACGATCCAGTTCCGGCTTGTTGGAATTCGAAAATACCACGGAGGCCGTTGCGGCCGTGATGGCCTGCAATCATGCTGCCATCGAAAGTCCAGGTGAGACATTTTTGGACAAGAAAATTGGATTTTTTTTGATGTATGATAAATTGATTCTAGTCGCGTTCGGTATTTACATCGGACTGCTCCGATGAATCTGAATCGTTCGTTTATAATAATAATAATAATAATAAATCGTCTTTATTTTTTCTTTGGTACAAAGTAGGCGAAGTTTAGCTATTGCTACTCTTACGCTTAACCTAAATTGTACAATCGACAGAAAATTCAGCTAATAAAGACATTCATGAGGTAATAAAGAACATAATCATCGTAAGTCAAATAAACAAAAGTAATTTGTCAAAGTATAACTAGGTAATAGAGTTTCAAGTCTTAATTTATATTGGAGATTCACAAAATTTTGCTTTCAGCAATTTCTTAATATTAAATTTAGATAAATGAAGGTGATTGATGAGGAGTGAATTGTAAAATTTTACAGCCTGATAGGTGAAGGATTTTTCTGTAACATATATGACTGAACAGTGACGAGGAACATTAAAGTGATGTTTATTTCTCACTTCTAATGAATGAAAAGATGACCTTGGAGTTAATTTACAATCGAGAGATAACATCTAGATGTAGGGGAAGTAGATCTCATCCGTTCGGCAATGGGCGTGTACACCTTAGTACAACTTTTAACTCAAACCATGTTTATAATGATCCTTTTATACATAAATAATGATTGACGACATAATTCTATCGAAAAATAAACTGGAATGTTTCATTTTTGGACATAAATAATTAGTACCTTCTGAAAACGGACCCTCTTATGACATAGAAACCTCGTCTCGCCATAGTTGAAAAAAAATACCAAACGCCCGACGGAGACTGAGGCAACTCATATATTAATTCTTTCAACTGTGATCTCGCGCTAATTCACACTGTCAGAAATCATGTATCATTCATCTCTGTCTGGAATAGTCTTGTTTCAGTATTAGGGTTCTGACGTCACATCACCGCCTCGTTTTCAGAGGTCCGAAAAATCGGGGATTTCAATAATTTTTTATAAAACGTAGGGAGCTCACAGCAAGAAACGGTTCGCGGTGGTGAGCTAGTTTGGGAGAGATCTATCGAATTATGGAATAATTTTGTATGTGATATAAGCCCATTAAAATCGGAGCGATTTGACAAAGATCTTAATGCTCGGAGAATTCTGACCGAGCAAAGCGATTGATCTGGATTTGTGAGGTTAATGTTCAAATGTTTATGTATAACTGGCCGTTGTGCTCGTATTCGTATTTTCAAAATAACGTTTTCATAATGAAAGAAATACAACTTTTTGATTCTGAGCAATACAAAACACACACCTTTATGGTGTCATATGAGAATTATGAAGAAAATGTTGCTTGAATTGCAGGTCAGTAAAATGAGGCACTGTTTCTTCGGAAAAATGTTCAACTTTTTCCAAAGCATCGTTCCTCTTCATCATCCTCATCAAAAATAATTGGATGTCCCGAAACAAAACCTAGTACAGTTTCTGGTATGAAATAAATGAAATGAATGGGGTTAGGTTAGGTTACCGTCACACTGTCAACAAAATGTGCACTTCGTTCGTTTATTGCCGATTGCTCCGATCTATCTGTGACCACGTGACTAGAATCTGCTCTAATCTGCGATGTAAATACCGAACGTGACTATTCATCATACAGGACGTGGAATGAAAACACCCACAGGGGATATAGATCTCATGTAATCGTTGGGTAAGGATCCTGAAATTTGCTGGAGCGAGAGATATCCCACGTGGGGTCATCTTCAGTGATATACACTGCTCGCCAACAACCATGGAACCACGCCGATTTCCGGAAAATAATATCAGGAGTCAAAATTGGTCGAAAATCACTTCGGATTCGGAATCAGGATGCCCAATTCACCAAACGATTCATAGCGTTGATAAAACAAATTAAATGTCACACTTTTCTCAGAAGCACCCCCGTATCTTACGTAATTGACGTTATCTTCGGACTTTCCCTTCCTCCTGCAAATTTCAGAGACAAAATTTAATCTTTACGAACTGAAAATCTTTCAGGAAAAATATGAATAGTGAATTAGGCGTTCTGATTCCGAATTCGAAGTGATTTTCAACCTATTTTGACTCCTAAAATCATTTTCCAGTAATTGGAGTGGTTCCATGGCTGTTGGCGAGCAGTGTATATCACTGAAGATGACCCCACTGGGTCACAGAGTGCATTTTTGGTATAGTTCATCCAAAAACAATTGCAGAGTCTCGTGCCGCACCTGCAGTCACTTCAAAAGAAACTTCGAACACGCCGACGCTGCACAGTGCAGGATATTCTGCAATTGATATTGGATAAACTATATATTTTTAGCTCCTGCAATTTTAGGATCCTTACCAAAAGATCACGTAAGATACAGGGGTATTTCCATTAGAAGTGGGTCACGCTGTATAAACATGTGTCATAGCTTGCTTCGTTTTCGAGGTACAGGGCATTAATATTTCCATGAAAAATCGTTTTTCCAATCATTACTGGAATGTCTTTTTACCAATTTCGTTGAAACTTGGTGGTTTCGTTGAATGTAACTTCTTTTGATGTAATTAAATTCAAAATAATGTTTTCAATGACGTCACAGTGGGTAGATTTATCGATATTGATGGTAAATGTCATTGTCCAGCACTGGTTTTTCTGACATTCATATTTTTATGAGATTCAACAATTGAAATATCAACTTTCTTATCCTCTGTGTTTCTTTTGTACCTCGCTTAGTATTTGAGAAAACAATAACAACTCGATTTGACTCCAAATTTTAATGTAGGTGCTCTCGAAACATTAATTGAGATTTCTCAATAACCTCAATAAGAATAATTTCGAAATTTTGGGACTTTTTCAGTCTCCAACCATACTGAATTTCGGCATGATGAAAGCTTATACAGGGGCGATATAAATAAAAACAATTGATACTTTCAACTTCAACACCTTGTATATGAAAAACGAAGCAAGTAAGGACACATGATTATATGCACTTTATTCCCTAAAATATCACAAGTAACCACTCCCTGGAGCTTGTCGTACTTCTTCACCAACACCTTGTTTATTTCTAATTTAGTTTCATCAAGAACTAAACCTGGTCATAATGTACAATTTCACCATTATGAATATTTCAAGTTTCATTTGTGGGTTGAACAAACAAAAATCGTACTAATCCATGCTGTTTCCAGGAATGAAGTTCCCCTTCATAATGAAACTGTGTTTCTCATCATCGCGCAGCATGACCATAAAAAATGGAGAGAACAATTCCGGCGAGGGAGGAGAAAAACCGGATCAGTAATCGCCCTCCCATCACATATCTTTTCCATAAAATGTTGTAAATTCGAAACAGTGTTATTCTTGTTAATTTTAGTACTTACAAACAATTCGTATTGGTTTATTGTTACTTTCTACGGGAATCTAGATTTCATAATTATGATTTGTTGAACTCTTATTACTGTTATTTTTCGTCTGTTTATCGATGAGAAGAAAAATTCATTCAACTCGCGAGTTAACTTAGCTGTCTAAGTTTTTGAGTAGGTACATATCTTGATGAAAAACAATTTCATTCGAAAATGATTTGTGTGAAACGCATTATTTAGCGCAATTCAATATTTTACTTGCAACGATTAGTGTTACGATTTTTACAAATTAGATTAACTGAGTAATATTCAAATACCTAATTGTAGTAGGTAGGTAGGTACTTAATATGTTTTTTGTTGATAGCATGTCTCGATGATCATACACCACATAGGTTAGGTAACTTTCGATTGTTATTCTATCTGTTGAGTTGTTGATATTTTTTAAATACTTATGGTGTGTTTCAATGATTTTTGGATTCTTAGCTTGCGGTCAAAATCTGGCATAAAACATACAACAATTGATTTAATTGAATTCCTGAAAAAAATATGAGGTATCCAAAAATTTCGAGGTTTCAATTAGTACATTATTGTTTATAGTATAAAACTGAAGTCAATACATATTTTTAATACATGACGTGCAACGTATACTTAAGGATCAAGATATCGGAAGAAATTAAACATATTTCAGGTACATATCAGTGCAATGAATTACTTTAACATCATATCAAAATTATTGAGATTAAACTATTTTACTCAAAAAAAAAATATATATTGGTGAAATTGTTATCAAACATTTTCATTGGGTTCGTAAAATTCATATCAGGGCTTTCGCGTTCTTTGATTTACAGCTTAACCTGAAAATGTTCGTCCTGTAGAATAATAATGAAAAAGAACTCGTACTACTTTAGGTTGAATGTCTTCCTATCTGTAGGCCTCAGAATAGATATAACCCGATGTTTTTACGCTGGGGAACATTATTAATATCGATGTCATTTATCATAGTGTTTGTGAATGGCGAAAATTGATTGCAATAAATGTTTGCAAGAAAAAAAAAACTTTGGCTTCGGCGATACGTCGACGTTGAAGTTGAATCATAAAAGACAAATAGTTCATATCACATATAGTATTACCTAATTGTAGAGTTTGGTTAATTTCTGAGTCTCGCCTCGTAGTTATTCTGAATTTCATTTCAGCGTTTTTTTCACAAACAATACCAATAATTTTCATTTGCAAATTGTATTTCCGGAATTAATGGCATAAAATTGATGCAACGATTGGAATAATTGAGGCCGACTTCTATGGAGTGAATTAAACGGCATTAATTATTTGTCGATTGTTGTTGACGAAGTATGATTATTGAAGTCGAATTAATCACCTGAAATTAATTTGGTAATAAATACTCGTGATTTATCGGCATAACATAATAGATAATGGCAAACTTTTCAGTTATTATTCAATTCAGGAAATACTCAAAGTATTGAACGGGACATACGAGTGAAACTCATTTGATTTTTACTTTCAATACTTCATGATCATTTAATTACATTATTTTCCAAATTCAAAATAGCTACGAAGTTCAGTGAGTAGTTATTGTTTTAGAAAACTAGACGTTAATTGAATTAGTAGGTATCAAAATTTGTTTGAATCTGCTACTTCTTATCCTCCATTTTGTCATTCAATAAGTTGGAATGTAAAAATGAAAGATTCGAATTTCATATTAGATACGATCACAAAATATCCTATGCTAATTCATCTTGTAGTGTTCATGCAAAATCTGCATTATTCTACAATATATGTCGTAACAAAAAAAAAATTAGTTGAGTCAATTATCTGTGCCTCTAGCCGTGGTAGTCTTTCTCTGTCTATCACAACCCAAAAAAAAAACTGTCAAACCTAACCTAACCAGCTTGTTTCTCTCTGTGCGCTGTGATAATTTCTAATCGAAATATAACCAGGAGACTGTCGGGTCGGATCAATTCTATCATGGAAAAAATAGCGGGTGACTCAGGTGACACGTAACAGCCTGTAGATTTTTTATTTGAAGAGATAAAAAATTGAAATTTACAAGGGTTATATTATCAATGACGGCGCTTCCCTTGAACCCAAGGACAATTTTCTTGAACCAACTGTTTAGTAGAGCCAACTTTTTTTTTTTTCGAATGGCACCTGTATATTTCTGTGGCCTATCTTACTCCCCTTGAAATTCTCTATTCCACTATGTATCACTATTCGATATTAGTTCGTTAATTATTGGCTGTTACATTGCATTTTATTGAAATACATGAAGTTGGCTGTGGCCCGAATACAATGACATTTCGATGCTCGATAGGTTTAGAAATCCAAAGATCATTGCTTAGACGATATTATCAGGATATTTTCCATACCCTAATCGGTCCCAAAAGATTGCCAATAATTTCATTGATTTTAAAAATATCATCCAAAAATAACTCATGATATTGAGAAAAGTAAGATAGAAACTCAGTTTTTTTCATTTGGCTACTTGTGAAGAAACTATTTGTGTTTCATTTTTGCCATATAATCATAATATGATCATCCATTCGGATACATGAAACTGAAATTGTTGTAATAATTGATGTATCGTCCTAATACATCTGTTCATAAGTCTACATTATTGTATTTTCAGTATCATTTCACTCATCAAATTGTGATACATAGTTGAATAGAGAATTTTATGGCGAATAAGAAAGGCTACAGAAATATACAGGGTACCATTTGAAAAAAAGAAGTTGGGTTTACTTCCGATCAAACAGGTGGTTGAAGAAAATTGTCATTGGGTCTAAGGGAAGTGCGATCGCCGATGATATAATCATTGTGAATCTCAATTTTTTATCTTCCCAAATAAAAAAACTACAGACTGTTACATGTCTCCTGTGTCATCCGGTATATGCAAAGTGCGTGAATCGGAGATACTAAAGTGGTGATTATACGAACAGGAATCGTGATTTTTCAACTTTTTTTATAGGTCTATTTATCTCCATTGAGAATGTTGATAGTTTATACAGGGTGAGTGGGACATATGCTGAAAGCGGATTGTTTGGACCAAAATATGGCGGTAGGATGGAATGTGCCTTGATGAAATATTGCAGTGGAAAAAGATACATGGCGTTGAAGTTGAATTTTTTTTTCATTTTTTGCTAATAATTTCACTATATATTCATCAATTGTTATCAAAATCAGCACAGAGGCCTAATTTTATGTAGTTCTTTACTGTCACGAGGATGATTTCTGATGATGAAATCGACTGATAACTTTTTTTTGCCGAAACTTTTTGGTGATTTTGATTAGCAAATATGATATAAACACCCATTTGTACGTAATATTGCAAAAAAGATATTTTCATCCGTTGTCGAGAAAAACGCAATTGGACAGTTCAAAGTCTCGGAAGAGGATTTCAAATATTATTTCATTTATGGAGAGTGTGCTTTGGACTGTCAGATGATTGTTGCTGATGAATTACATTTCTTGTCAGTGAATGAATTTTGGTGCGAGTTTTATAGTCGATACATTTTCGATTGAAACGACTTGTATGTTTTTCCTCCGCCCTTAGCCTATGTCCCAATAGGTAGTTATGACTCACCCTGTATACAAGGTGAATCTGACTCCAACTATGAAACATTTTGTTTACATTTGAAAAAAACGCGAAAAAGCCGTTATTAGTCCAGCATTAGATACCTACCCTACAATTCCATTATTTCGTTAGGACCATTAATCAAAAACCTCTTTTTAAATTTCCAACCCATTAATTATCGTTTCAAAGTGAAACAGAAAACTCTAGGAGGGAAAGAAAGCATTAGGCCAAACAACTTATTTTGGCGAGATATATGCCCTGTTAAATAAAAAACCTCACTTTCAGATTCACCCCGTATAAAGTCAGATGAGACAGGCGGAAATGAACTCAAAGTGACCCCTGTCAGCATCTCGTTTGGGATAACAGATAGTCACTATTGATTTATTTTTTCTTGATTATCATTCATAGTTGAAGATGTAATTCACAGATCGTTTTTTTTTTTCATCTCACCGGGGTCTCTAAAGCTAGTATAAATGTAATATATACCAAGTTGGTTGAATTGAAGTATAATAAAATTGACAAAAAATCTGGTACCTAATTAAGCTAATTACAATATTTATTTGCCAATCAAGCTCGCAATTGTAACACTATTATTGCAATTTCCTCAATGATTGTCTATAAATTATGCTTTAATGAACAAGAATTCTCTTGCACCGGTCGACTTATTACACTCTCCAAAATACTAATTACTATGTTGAACATTTAATAACTATTCAAAATATTCATCAACCAGTCTTGAAGTGACGAAACACACACATACATGGTGTTTCAATAATATTGCACGAAACTTCGAGGTCATATCTTTTGGGCCGAAATAAGAAGATAATTCACACAAACATATGTCCACAAACGATTTTTTATTAACTTCTGAAAAACGCCTGAACCGTTAGTGTTAAAATTTACAATGTCTGTTGAAATATTAATGAGGTGTTTTTTGAACCTATTACAGTTGATGAAGTATCACACTTTTCGTATGGGGCTTAGTTTTAGAGGGAAAAACTAAACACATGCTTCTCTGAGCCCGTGATAAGTGAAACAGTAATGATGAATAAAAGGTCCAAAAATATGCAAGATAGGTTCTGGTATGAATTAAAATTGAATACGGTTGGTACGTTGATCACTAATCGTATCGGACCTACGTTTATAAGGACTTTTTTTTAATTCGACCAAAAAAATATGGCTTCGGTTTCATGCGATGCTAATGAAACACCATGTATACGAACACTCACTGTACGAAATGTTCATCTTGAAACTGGTCAAACTATAATCATTCCTATTATTATTATTCCTAATCGCTGGCATAGATTGAACGGAAGACTTGTTTTCCGGTATTTTTTAATGTCATCAGAACATCATCTTTCCCTTTGAACGAGGAACTAAGCAATTATTTCCACACCACAAACTTTTCATTGCTGTATGAATGCAGAAAAAGAGTTGAAACATCAACAAACAGCAATTCAAAATTTTCACGAAACGATATTTCTGTTGTTGAATTTTATCACCATTTTCGTACCTTCATTTCGCGAAATTTCATCCTTTTTCAAGGCTTACTCAAGTATTCCAGAGACTCAACTCTCTGTTAAAAGGACGAAATCAACGAATATCATACGCCAAACTTGTAATCTGCTGGATCATGAACATTACTTGAAGTTTAATGGGCTTTGAGTGAACATAATTTCATTATTTTATCATCGATCTGTGATTGACATAAAAATTCGAGTCGATCGATTTCAGTTTGATTACATAAAGCATTATGTTACAATGTGATAAAATCAGTATTTCGCGATAAAAGATAAAGTATAATGAGTTCGGAAGATTCTATCTACTGTCTCACGACATAATTTCGAATTGTTGAGATTCATTCAAGTTATTTATGATTTTCCATGTGACTAACAAAATATGAACCAAAATATTTTAGAGACTGAATATAAGGGAGATGAATTTCTATTTAAAGAAAATAAGTAACATATTTTTACTAATTAATATTTTCCAATCCATCTATATTTCCACTCAGATTATAACAAAATAACAATACTTATTTTCACACAGTGTAAATAATACAGTGAACCAAATGTGGTTGAAATGAGTCATCTCAAAGTCTCATTTATTCAAATTAATCCCTGAAAGCATAGCATCAAATTTTTAAATGCACCTCGTACCAATATTATCAAATAGTTTCTAATAATAACTATCATAACTAATGATAAGCTTATTGTCAATGTCCAAAATTTATCAATTATATTGATTAGGAAAATTTTCTCACTAGTATAGATACGATAATATAGGTATCAAGTGAGCATTGGCAGATTTTAAATTCTAGTCGTTTTTTGTAGTTTTTCTTGGAGGAACTAACCAGATCCATTTAAAAAATTTCCATTTTCTTTTTTAACTATATTTCTAGCAATTCGTGACAAATAAAAAAGTTAGGTTATGAGCACAGCATAGTTCGGCTAAAGTGAATCTCTGTTTAATTTATTGTTGAGTTTTTGTTTAGTATTTATATCTATTTATTGAGATAGAAAATCAATCCATCTGGATATGGTTGTGTGTAAATTTGTAGAACTTCTGTATTATATTATTTATGTAGTGTTATTTTGTACGTTTAAGGTGTGAAGAAAGATTCCATCTCGATTGCTGATGTATATAAGAAGTGAACAATTTTTATCACAGAGGGAGACAAAATACACTATATTACCCACCCACAGAGCTTACACGTTCAAAAATACATGAATACACACATACAAAAAGACATACGACACAAATTATTGTTAAGAAGTAAATGTATGTATTTTCCGAAGCTGTGTGTGTATATATATTTCTAAATTATTTGAAAAGTATTATATACGCGATTGTATGCCAAATAATTCTAGAAAATTGTTATTGTAACGACTTTGTGCATGGAGGTCCTAATAAACTTATACAAATTCGGACAAATTACACGTTACAATAATATATTTCTTAGATCCAGTATTACTGAGAAGTCAATTCGTTTTTATTTGATTATGTAAATAAGTTATGTTTCAGCGCTGATAAGTAAAGTAATTACAAATGATATGTGTTTTTGAACTGTGAGTTTTCCTACCCTTTCCCTTGTTCCATCCTATACTCACAAAGATGATGAATGAATATCATTCATATCACATAATTAGGAATTCAATGGTTTTTTCAACAGGTTAGACAGAAGTGCATAAAAAACGGCTAAGACTGTAACTTTTGAATTATTCGAGATAGGGTATTTGAAAATTGGACAGCTAGTATACCACATTGCTCATCAATTGACGACCCCAACTTTTGATTTTTAGATAGGACACCCTGATGTATTGTATTCCATAATCGATTAGGGATTGTCATAACGAATTCATCGATATCGGGTTTGATAAGGTTATTTCAAACGATTACGCAGATATTCGCGTTCGAAGTTTCCATATGCTCAATGAGTGTGACAGAGAAAGAAGTTTTGATATTGCGAAGTCACACCTATTGACCATATGGAAACTTCGAACGCAAATATCTTTGTAATCGTTTGAAATTACCCCATCAAACCCGGTATCGTTGAATCCGTAATGATAATCCCTAACCGATTATGGAATATCATACAGGGTGTTCTATTTAAAAATTAAAAGTTGGGGTCGTTTCCGGTGAAACTGGAAGTGATAAAAGAAAACTGGTCTCATCAATTAATAAGCAATTTTGTATACTTGCTACCCACCAATTTTCAAAACCCTACCTAGAATAATTCAAAAGTTACAATCCTGGCCAAAACGCCAATTCCAGTGGCCTACGCTGATTAAAAAAAAATCGCCAACATATATGGATTCTGGATTTTTTAGCTCCTGGATGTGATCTAGTGGGCCTTGGTTTCTAAAAAATACACCTGTTCCCCTTCACATTCCCGAAAAACAATTATCAACATCATTCCATATATAAAATAATATGAGGAGGGCCGCTCTTTTATGGATCACTCTGTATATAGCAAATCTTTAGGTTTGTGTGTTAATTCATGGTCAGCGATTTTCTCTTCATATTTCGAATTTTGAAGTGATGGTGATATGAATACTATTATAAAAATGAGATTCTATTATGACTACACCTTTTCCAATTGTAGTTCGAAAATAGTCAATTGTATTTCAAAATTGTCATTTGGATTTCAAAAAGCATCATTTGTATCTCGAATTAGTTAATTTAATTTCGGAAACTATCAAATGTGTTTCAAAATTATAAAATCAATTTCAAAATGCGTCAATTGTATTTCATATTATTCAAATTAATTACAAAAACTAACACTTCAAATTTCAAAATAGACATTTGTATTTCGAAAAATATCAAATATATTTCATAATTCATCATTTGAATTTCAAAACTAAAATAGCACAGGCAAAGGTTAGATGGACTTCTGGGTCCTATCCTTGTGGCATCATCAATAAAAATGATAAGTTTTGAAATTGAAATGATGGATTTTAAAATTGAAATTGAACTTTTTGGAATTAAAATGACTAATTTGAAATAGAATTGACGCATTTTGGAATTGAATGAATAATTTTGAAATACAATGACGCATTTCGAAATTGAATTGATACTTTTAAGATACATTCGATACTTTTTGAAATTAAAATGACTGGTTTGAAATTCAATTGATACTTTTTTAAATCAACTTGACGCTTTTTGAACTAAAATTGGAAAAAGTGTAGTTACAATATGAAAATCCTCAATGAAACATTGCCATCATTTTGATATCGCAAGTGTCAAGAATATTGATGCAAGTGGGAAAAGTCACCTATAAAATTCTGATGAAATCAGTATTTGAAAAAAATCATATAACGCAGAGGTGGTTCTTAAGATAATGGCCCAACCTGAATAACTCGTTTAATTCAATTCCTAGGGACAACTTCTTCATTTTTCGTGGTTTCCTCTTTCTTTAGAGAATCACCCTTTCAAAAGATCCTAATGATAATATTCACCTCAATTCACCTCATTTGAAAGATATTTTCACCACGATTATAACTGTGTAGTCTTTGCTCATATTGAGTACTTCATTTATTCCAAGATATTGATTATGAAATTTCCTGAGATGCCTCTTATTTCTTCTATAAAAAAGAGGTCCCTAGTGAATATTTTTTAATGGGATGAAATGTGGGATATGACACATGAGATTATTGAAAATAATATATCGTATACGTTGACGAACCTTTTTGGTTGATGACAAAACGGCTGCTGAAAATCCTGGACCGATCTCTTGACCTGCGAACCATCACAGGCTGAAGATGCTTCCTGATGCTCCACCACAATTCGTTGCAGTCGTTTTCTACGTGAATGGTTGGATCTGAAAAAATTATCATCAGTTACTTACTGTCTGACAATGGAATTTATTGTCATTTTACTGTAGTTGGTTTCGCAGAAATATCCCATTGCAGCAGAGATTGCATTCAATTTCTGAAACTCTGGTTATTCAAAGTTCCTCTGCATAATATATGCCAATTTCATAAAAAAAAATTACTGGAACGAAAGGAAACCGCGAGTTAGAGGAAAAATATACGAGATGTAAAGTTCTAAGATGCGTCTTTTGGCACTACTGAATTAGAGTACCAATGGAATTATAGCCAACTTTTGAAACGTCCAAGACGCGTCTTGGCACTTATCCATACGGGAGAAATAAAAAAAAATCTTCAACTTATATTCCAAATCAATGGGCAGATATCTTTCTACTGATTCTTTTATTTGTTGAAAAAATTACTTCCAGTCGGAAAAAAATACATTTTTTCTATATCTCGAAAACGATATGATATATATCTCCTAAAGTATCACAAGATCGTTATCACAAGGATTTGCCCCTTGAATGTTTTCGGTGCTATTCAGATATACCCTGTATATATACAAATTTCGTTGTTTCAATGAGTTTGTATTTGCACATTATTTGCCAAACAATATATGTAAATTGGTTAAATAAAGCTATTCTATTCTATAGTTTGATAGTTATATAAATGTCTTTGTTTCGATTCGTTAAAATGAAATTGGATTTCAATCTTTTATATTGCTGCAGCAATACAGAAGAAACCGTGAAAATGGTCGATTCTGATTATTGGTTCTCGAGAACAAGTGTAGAATATATTCAGCACTAGAGTCACTGGATGGTATTATAGTATAAGTCAGCACTGTGATATCCTGATGGAATGAATAGATCATCAGGAATCACATTGTATGTTTGATTGATTAGATGTCGTAGGATTAATGAAAGAAGGAGACTATTTCAATATAAATATGTCATGTATGATATTTCAATAAATTGGAATAATAGTTACTTTTGGTACTAGTGTGTTATGTTGAAAATAAGTCACGTGAGAAATATTTATACCACGAGGCCGTTAGGCCGAGTGGTATAAATTCTCAAGTGACTTAGGAAACATAACACAAGAGTGGCATACAATGTTTTATCCAACGTGTGGAAGAAATCGTTTATTTTAAGAGATAATAATTAATAATTTTTGTGATCAAATCAAAGCTACCTGCGTCTCAGTACCCAGAAATGTCAGAATTACTTGAAAGTGACTTTTTGACATTTTTTTGGTTAAAGTAGGTTGTTAGTTCAGTTGCCACGGGCATGATTCATTGTTAGCAAATGTTTAAATAGATTTTGACACTTGTCAGTTTTCCCTGCAGAATAAGGAATCTTTTCTGAAGAAAGAAAAATGTATAGAAAATGGAGCAAACCGATGAAAATTACGTTCCTGAGGATATCCTCACGGAAGCAGCGATGCAGATTTTGCTAGAAAAGTCCCGAGATGCTTACGACAAGGAGTTTAAAATGTTTGAGTCTGGGATGAATTTGTTCTATAGGCTTATTTTTTACATTTGCAAAAAAAAATTAGCCCCATCGTCGTTATGGACCAAATACTCGATGCTTCGCTCGACTATTCACCTTTATAAAAAAATCCGACATTTCAAAATATGGTGAACCAAAGAAGTCCATGACATTAGAATGACCTGAAATAGAGAAGTTTTTGAACGAAGCTTCCGATGACGAGTTCTTGTTGATGAACGTGGCTTTGATAATGGGGATTAGCGGTGCTTGTAGATGCGATGAATTGGTCAATTTGAAAATAAAAATTATTCAAGACAAAGGGTAATATTTTCTAGTAGTTTTGCCAGACACTTGAACCAAGAAATCGGAGGAGTTTCACCATACTTGAAGAAGGATTTCCGCAGTCAACCCGATCAATTTGTGTAAAAAAATACACGTCTTTGAGACCAAAGAATACTAGTTCTAGTCGCTTTTTTATTTTTTACAAAAAATGGAAGGTGTACCAGCCAGTGTGTGGGAATAAATACGTTGTCGAAGATACCTTCAAGAATTGCAAAGTTTTTGAACTCTGAGGAACCAGCGCTCTACACCGGTCACTGCCTAAGAAGGTCTTCAGCGACTCTTTTGGCCAATGCAGCGGCTAACATGACTACTTTGAAGCGTCACGGAGGATGGATAAGTCCTCGACGCTAGCAGAAGGATACCTAGAAGAATCGGTGCATAACAAAATGCAATTTGCAGAAAAAATGGGAGCATCTGGTTCCAATGAACCAACGAATTTTACAATTACTTCAAATTCGAATAAACCGTTAGCGTTTTCCTTTAATTTCAATATCAATGTGAATCCTGCCTGTAATAGTAATGAATAAATAGATTTCTACTTTGGATATGAACGTGAGTTATAATCCATAACTCACTAGTTAGTTATGGATTATAACATTATAACACACTAGTGTGTTATTTGATAGTTTACTTGACTATAATGACATTAATATAATGACAGGCATAACTGTCATGTGTTGGATAATAGTATATTATGTAACAAGTGTTATATAAACGTCCTTTTAGTAACGAGTATTTTGAGCACGAGCGGAGCAGAGCGGAGCGAGTGTTTAATAAACGAGTGTCTAGAAGAGTTTATAAACGCGTTACATACTATGCTTTTTCTACGAACTCCGAAAATTACATTAACATACCTGCTATTCCTGCTAACCTACAAAATAATTCGAAAGGAATGGGAATTGAGAACATAATACATGCAACTGCATGCAACCAGCGAGACACGTATAAGTGATATTGGTTGTAGATGTGTCCAGTCCATTGCTTACTAACCTTTTTCTACTCACATAACTAAAATGGCATTTATCGTACGGATATGTACCACGCTAAATGATCGATTAATCACGGATTGTCGATCTGTGATTTATTCAAAATATTAAACACGTTACCATGGCAACACGATTTCTTAAACACATCACCATGGCAACGCAGTTCATTAAACACAGCTTCAGTAATTCGAGACATGTCTGGCCTGTCAATTGTATTAACTGTCAACAATTATTTTCATATTTTGTATCAGAATTATTCAAGCAATATTCGTTTGTATCGGAATTCTTCATTAAAAATATATGCGAAAAGTAGACGAGAGTGAAATCGAAGAGAATGTTCACGTACTTACATACCTCCAAGAAGTGTTAAAATGAAGCATCCATCTTTGATAACAATTTATTTATTCAGCGCTAAGCATGACAATAAAGTGAAACAAACGTTAGTAAGCAAATGGACTGGACAGATCTACAACCAATATTACTTATACGTGTCTCGCTGGTTGCATGCAGTTGTATGTATTATGTTTTCAATTCCCATTCCTTTCGAATTATTTTGTAGGTTAGCAGGAATAGCAGGTATGTTAATTAATGTAGTTTTTGGAGTTCGTAGAAAAATCATAGTATGTAAAGCGTTTATAAACTCTTCTAGACACTCGTTTATTAAACACTCGCTCCGCTCTGCTCCGCTCGTGCCTAAACTACTCGTTACTAAAAGGACGTTTATAACACTTGTTACATAATATACTATTGTTTCACGTTTATTGCCATGCTTAGCGCAGAATAAATAAATTGTTCTCAAAGATGGATGCTTCATTTTTACACTTCTTGGAGATATGCAAGTACCATAACATTCTCTTTGATTTCACTTTCGTCTACTTTTCGCATATATTTTTGATGTAGAATTCTGATACAAACGAAAATTGTTAGAATAATTCTGATACAAAATTCGAAAATAACAGTTGACAGTTAATACAATAATCGACAGGCCAGACATGTCTCAAATTACTGAAGCTGTGTTTAATGAACTGCGTTGCCATGGTAATGTGTTTAAGAAATCGTGTTGCCATGGTAACGTGTTTAATATTTTGAATAAATCACAGATCGACAATCCGTGATTAATCGATCATTTAGCGTGGTACATATCCGTACGCTAAATGCCATTTTAGTTACGTTAGTAGAAAAAGATTATAAGTTCTGCAATCCTGTTTTAATAGATACATTACAAGCATAAAACACGCTCCTCTATCAAATCTGAACATGCTGTAAGACTATCGATCAAACAACCGATTCGTCACAGTCCCAAAATGACAGTAAATCGCCATGGAAAGTGAGATGAATAGACTTTCACCATTACGTCAAAAGTGAGCGAATAACTGTGATGAAAACCGATTCGCCCAACGAAGACCTCAACGAACCCCCCGCCTTCAAAAGCGGCCTTCGCGAGGTAATAGTCGAAGAACATTCCGACTCTGAACCCTCTTCGGCAGCGGGCAGCGACGACGACGAAGAACGCAGACCCGAACGACCCAAAGCTGATATACCACCGGAATACTGGCACATCCAGAAGCTGATCAAGTACCTGAAAACCGGCAACCAGACGGCCACGGTGGTGGCCTTGTGCTGCCTCAAAGACCACGACCTCACCACCGAGATCAACCAGCTGGCTATTCAAGAGATTGGCGGCTTGGAGCTGCTGATCAATCTGCTCGACACCAAGGACTTGAAGTGCAAGTTGGGGGCGCTGGGAGTGCTGACGGAGCTCTCTCACAACCAGGATATACGGCGCTCCATCGCCGATCTCGGAGGCATAGGTTGGTTGTAGCTAGGAGTTCCTAATATATTTGACATTGGCTGGTTAGACGTTCCCAGACAGCACTGGATATTCATAGAATATTCTCTAAATATGCTAAAAAGGAGGAGTATATTCCGAATATTCATCGATTATTCCTAGAATATATACATGTCTCTGGAACATCTAAAAGGAATTTTCCAAAGTGAATAGTCGGACATGTTCAGGGAATATTCAGGTATGAATCTTCCAGGAATATTCCCAACTGAATATTCTCTGTTGTATATTCATGGAATATACCCAACTGAATATTCTGTGCGGTATATTCATGAAATATTCTCAACTGAATATTCTGTGGTGAATATTCATGAAATATTCCATGAATATTCCTATGTTTCCCTACACATGAATACCAATTATTATTTCAGAGATGTGAGTATCGAACATCAATTAGGTGTAAGGGGATTTTGAAACAAAAAGTGTTTATGATCCGATTTCGAACAATGCTCTCACAAGAACTAGATATGTATGTCATTATTCAATTCGATTACTGGCCTAGTGGTAAAGGCGTTGCTCTGATAGTCTTGAGGTCACGAGTTCGATCCCTACTTGGGTCCCTTTTTTTCAATTTAGAATATGTTTATTGGAATATTCCAGGAACATTCAATATAGAATATTCTTTTGGGAATATTCTATGATTATCTGAGGAATTCCCATTCGCATATTTAGAGAATATTCCACAGATATTCCGGAATATTCCAGATTATTTCTAGAATATTCCAATATTCCAAAAGGAATATGATAGGGAGATTCATGGAATATCTGGTGCTGTCTGGGTTGTGTATAGGTCGCGTGCACGAAGACCGACCCTGGAGGCAAAATATTGAAACACAACCTCATTCTTCTGTGAATTATTGAAACACAACCTCACTTTTTTTTTTTATGTGGTTACAGGGGAATCAAAGAAATGAAATAGTTTTTCACAATATTTTGGCATACGAATCGTGTTTTTTGCGCTATTCATTAATTCGACTATGCCTTCGCATTGTGCTGTACAAAAAATGCAGCAAGAGACTAAAGTATATGATTTTTGAGGTAAACAGTAATATCACATAGTTATTATTATGAAATGTGTTGTCATTCCTTATTAAAATTCCTTCTGCCTTCTGCCACTTCTGAAATACAAGCTAATACTGCTAATTGATTGAAAATGTCTACAACACACACGATCGCCAGCATGTCAGACCAGTCCTCCCGATTGATTGCATGAATCCAATCTTCTTGCATTATTCTAGAAATTTCAGGTGTATTTTTATTAGCTCCTATCGCAGAAGGAATTCCGATGAGAAATCAGAGAAATTACCAAATTTCAAAAATGAAAACTATTGTGAGTCATAATGTACCAACCGGATTACTTCGTCTTCCACTGCAGTTTTTGTGCATTTCACAACAAGGTAATATGATGGCATGAGCGAATTGATGAAAAGCGAAAAAATACGATTCGTATGCCAAAATAATTGTGAAAAACTATTTCGATCACTTGTAAACAAACAAGAAAAGTGACGTTGTGTTTCAATGTTTTGCCTCCAGCGTCGGTAATCTGACAGTTCTTGCACGCAACCCATATAAGTCGCAAACATTGAAACATAACCTCACTTTTTTTATGGGTTGCGTGCAAGAACTGTCAGATGACCGACCCTGGAGGCGAAACATTAAAACACAACCTCACTTTTCTTATTTGTTTACAAGGGATTGAAATGGTTTCTCACAATTATTTTGGCATACGAATATTACGAATCGTGTTTTTCGGCTATTCATTAATTTGCGCATGCCATTACATTGTGCTGTTGTACAATGCACAAAAAATGCAGCGGAGACGAAGGAATCCGGTTGGTACATTATCATGATTTAAAAGTTAGTACCTACTATAATCACTCCCATATAGTTTTCATTTTTGAAATTTGGTAATTTCTCTGATTTCTCATCGGAATTCCTTCTGCAATAGGACCAGGTGCTAGTGCCAGTTATAGGAACAAGACGTGGAAAATGTATATTTTGTAAAGGTTTTTGAATAAACTTATATTATTATTATTATTATTATTAACAATAATAATAGCGATTATTCATTCCTCTCCATACTAAATTGTGTTTGACTTGATAATCAAATGGAGGTAAACGATATCATTGTTTAAGACGAAAAACTATTGCTCGCCGTGATTAATCAATTATCCTAATGAAATAATCTACTATTTTTATTCTCTGTGTGATTTTTGTATCTAGCTTAATTTTTGAGGAAACAATAAAAATTCGATTCGACTCCAAATTTCAATGTAGGTGTTTTCAAGACAGACTTCCATTGAGATTACTCAATAACCCCAATTAGAATCATTTCGAAATTTTGGGTCTTTCTCAGTCTCCATCCATACTGAATTTTGGCACCATGAGAGCTTATACAGGGGGGTTATGAATAACAACAATTATTACTCCCAACTTCAAAAACGCAGCAAGTTAGGGCACATGTTTATATGAACTTTATTTGCTAGAATGTCACAAGGAAACACCTCTTGATTTTTTTCGGTGTTATTTAGATACACCCTGTATTTTCAATCTTAAATCCGTGGAGATGATTGTGGACTTCCATTCCGAACAACCGCGGACTTCTCATACCAACGTTCACAGGTCTATTGGTCAAGAACCTCACGGAACCGGCTAGGGATCTGCAGATCCTCGTAGCCGAGACCATCTACAACGTTGCCCAAATACGCAAAGCGAGAAAGCACGTCAGAAAATGCAACGGCATTCCCAAGCTGGTAGACTTCCTCGATATCAATGAACTTTCCCTGAAAACGCCCAAGGACCAGCTTAGTCCCGACGATATCGAACTTGTCAACATCGCAAGAGCAGCAGCCAGAGCCTTGTGGTCGGTGTCCAGAAGCAAGCGCAACATCCAGGTGATGTAATAATAATCCCAATGGGCACACATACGTTGATTTGACGTTTATTCAACGTAGAATGGATGAACAATACGTTGCAGGTTGACTTTTCAACGTCTATTTGGTTATGACGATAACGTTATGAAGAAACGTGATAATAACATATATTCTACGAAATTGATCAACGACTGGTTAAAACATTTGTTGAAAATACTTGTTTTACAACGTCATTATACCTTCTGAATGAATGAACGCTATCTCCTCGCCAAGCTTCCATCTTATGGCTTGTTTCCCCAGCTATGTTCTCTGCTAGCTAGTTTTCTCTCAAACAGGTCTCTCCATGTAGTGGTCGACGGAGTTTCATCTGACTCTCTTATCATAAATGCTGGTGTTCCGCAAGGATCAATTCTAGCACCAACACTATTTCTACTCCATATCAACGATTTGTTGGAAGAAATTTCATGGCCAGTACACAGCTTCGCGGATGATAGTACCTTCCTTCTCTTCCAGGGCTCCAATACCAGCCAGGCAAATCAGATACGAACGAGGGATAAATGTTGACAATATAAATATGGATTTGGCAACAATTCTCGAATGGGGATCCGATAACTTGGTAGATTTTAATGCAAACAAAACACAAGCATGCCTTTTCTCTAGAAAAGCCGATTTCACTGTGTCCAACATAAGCTTGTCAGGAGTAACCATACCTTTGAATACATCCATTTCGATGCTTGGTATTACTATCAGCAATAACCTTTCTCGGTAAAATCACGTGAGATCAATTGCTAAAATAAGTGCATCCCAAAAACTTGGTTTTCTATTTGCTTATGATCTATAAGGCTCAGATTCGACCTGTCCTGAAATACTGTTCCCATAATTGGAGTGCAGCACCCAAACATACCCTGAAACTGTTGGATTCTGTCCAAAAAGGGCAATTCGTCTCGTGGGTGATGCCTCGCTCACAAACTCACTCACTTCTCTGCAACACCGTAGATAAGTTGGCGATCTTGCTCTATTTTATAGATATTTTCATGGACGATGCTCTTCTGAAATATCGCCAATTGTACCTCCCTTGGCAGTCCCCGCGAGATTAACCCGTCGAGTTGGGGCCTCGTACTCATTCGTGGTCACTTTGAAGACCTGCAGAATATCTCTCTCCAAAGATTCGTTCATCCAACGAACAGCGAGGCTCTGGAACTCATTACCAAGGGAGGTGTTCCCAGAGGCATATAACCGTCAGAAATTTAAGGAGAACACCAATTCCTACCTTATTTCCCTTGGTTCTCACGATTTTCTCTGAACATTGCAGGATATCCCTTTTCATGGGAACCAGAACAGACAAAAAAATATCTGCGACAATTTTACCGATTTTCAAAAGATAGTTATTCAACCAATTCGAAACATTTTTCAACGTATAGGTGCCTATTGGGATACAATAGATAGAGGTGGCCTCATGCAATTCCAGCCAATCTCTCTGTGTGTTGAATCATCGTACTCCTGATTTGTTGAATTTTTGTGACCAATAATTGTTATGAAAATTTATAGTTTGAAATGGTCTTCCTTCGTAAGGAATTTTTCTCAATTCAAGCAAATAAATAGCCAGTATATCTGATTTTTTGATGTGTCGATATTAGAATATTAACAGTGAATTGTCATATTGTAATATCTGATTGTGGGATACCTATTCCTGAAAGAGGACAAAATTGAAATAGCGAATAATTATCGACCTCAACAGTAAATGCCTTTCCGAAAAAAAAAAGGATATACCTCAAAGTGAATTAGGATTCGAGCCCGGGACTTTTAGCCCATAGGCTAGTACATTGTTCTATTGACCATCACTTTTCTGGCGAACTTATGTACAAAACAAATTCAAATTCATACGCTCATCTCTAGCGATCCGCCCAGGATAATTAGATCTAAGGGGCTATCATTGAAAAATTATGGGGCAACCTGTCTAATTGATTGATCTTGCAGGTGATGATGAAGAGCGGAGCCGTACCGCTGCTGTCAAGGCTGTTGAAGTCCGTACACATGGACGTGGTAATACCGACCATCGGTACCATAGCCCAATGCGCAGATGATCCCAGCTACCTGCTGGCGTTACAAACCGAGGGCATGATAGTGGTGAGTCTATGTTTCCAAATCGAATTTTCCCCAGCCCGAGAATCTTACATGACGTCATTTACAACCGTAAGGCAAAATCGAGCGATCAGGAACGTCAAAAAGCGTGAAAAAACGTAAAAAACGTAAAAAAATTTCACGACAGCGTCATGCATGCATCAACACATTTGTAACGTTCTCTAGGTGGTTTTAGGAGCGCTTCCGTAACGTTTCCATGATGTTTTTTCACATTTTTCGATGGTTTTCTCAGTTTTTACGCATTAGACATTTCTATGACGTTTGTGTAAGTTTTTTTTCGAGTTTTGGACACTTTTTGACGTTTTTACTATTGCGTGACGTTTCTGGGACGTTTTTGTGACGTATTTCGAAATGTTTGACACCTTTAGATGCTTTACCGCAAGTGTGATGCTTCCATGACGTTTTTGGTGCAATTTTTCAATATTTTTGGATGCTTTTTAAAGTTTTGGCTGAAGCTATACGCTTCCATGACTTTTATGTGATGTTCTTTTTTTAGTTTTTGACACTTTTTGACTCTTTACACGCTTTCGTGACGTTCATGTGTTGTATATTGACGTATGCGTGGCGCTTCCGTGAAATTTTTGTGACGCTTCTGTGACATCAATGTGACATTTTTTCAGATTTTTCGATACTTTTTGACCTTTTGACGCATGCGTGATTCTTTCGCGATGTCTAATTGACGTTTTTCGACCCTTTTTGGTGTTTTGACCCATGCATGATGCTTTGGTAACGTTTATTTAACGTTCAAATGCCGTTTTCCTATATTTTTTGCGCTTTTTTGCATATTTTGATGGTTTTTCGACGCTTTGACCCACTATACATGTGATTGAATACATCGTGAGGCACATCTCAGCAGACTAGCACCCGACCTTGAGGTGGTATTGTGCCGGCGGTCTGGACCCGCTGGTTATCATCGACCGAGATCCCAAGACCAAGGAGGACAAGCAGCTGCTGACCGCTGTCATGAAAAACTTGATGTGAAGAAAACGTTATGTGAATGTCAAGCAAACATCAACACATTTTTACATCTTATATATGTTTTAACGCTTCTGTGACATGAATGCAACATTTTTTTTCAGGTTTTTTATACTTTTTGATCTTTTGACGCACGCGTGATTCATTCGTGACATCAAATTGACGTTTTTCGCCACTTTTTGTCGTTTTGACGTATGCGTGATGCTTTGGTAACGTTTATTTAATGTTCAAATGACGTTCTTTTGAATTTTCGAAATATTCTTGCATTTTTCGATGGTCTTTTGAAGTTTTGACCCACTATACACATGATTAAGGACATCGTGAGACACCTCTCAGCAGACGAGTACCCGGCCTTGAGGCGGTACTGCGCCGAAACCATCTTCAAGTGCTGCGAGAGCCCTGTGGCCAGATGCATGGTGAGGCAGAGCGGCGGTCTGGACCCGCTGGTGAACATGGCCCGAGATCCCAAGACCAAGGAGGACAAGCCGTTGCTGGCCGCTGTTACGGGGGCCATTTGGAAGACGGCCATCAGTCCGGAGAACGTTGAGAGGTTCGATCAGCTGAAGACCGTGGAGGTGAGGATAGCGGCGCAGATTCACTCTATGAGTGGCGATAATTCGCGAAACATTATATTTTGTTATATAGCAGGTACTATATTGTTGAAAATTATTTCGAAATCTTTCGAAAGTGGAATTATTCCTGACAAAATGAAAATTGCTAAAGTATTGCCTGTATACATAACTGGTAGGAGAGATGATATGAATAATTACAGACCACAGTTCTTTCAAAAGTTATATAAAAAATTATGAATAATCATCTACTTGATTTCCTGGAGAATAACAATTTGCTATTCAGTGGTCATTATGGATTCCGTAGATCGAAAGACACTGCAGTAGCCGTTATGGAAGTTATTTCAGATATCCAATTACGAATTATTTGCAATTGGTGTGAGAGGAAGAATTCATGATTGGTTTCAAAATTATCTATGACTGAAGTATGAGGCTCTGAGAAACCAAGGCTAGGTTTGAGTAAATTATTATTTTTCAAAGCGTAATTTGAGTATATATGGTCTCACTAATTTATGCTGACGTTTTCAAGGTCACCAGAAGATGTCCAGTTTACTGCACAGCGAGCTATATTTACTGTTTAAACATGTATAGCACGCTTTCCAGTAAACTGGACATACACATATGATGAAAATAAAACAGAACTAAGTGTATTACTTATTTATTTCCTCCATTGCATACAAAAGAGTGAAAATGAGATCAAATCTAGATTATGAGAAACCTAAATGGACGATGCATTCCAATTTTTGAAGCAAGGATAGACACATATAGACCAGATTTTTTCTAGCAAACAAGACAAACAGGGTTTTCTTTTTTTCTTTCATCTTCGAGCATTGGCAACATCTTTTCATTTCGGATTTTTTCCGTTGATTGATCGGCTCCAAAAAATTTAATTTGTTTGTTCTTGTTGTTTTGGCTTGAGAATGTCAACATTGAGAATGTCCTCGACCTCTTTTCACGAGAGTCCAAGAGTCTGACATTTTTTTATTATTGTCAACTACTCGAATCAGCTCGCAAATCAGCCAATTATCATGACCAAATGCGCGCAGAAGCCATTGCAAACCATGTGATTCGCCCCATGCATGTTGCCACATTTATTTTAATATTTTTATCCCAATTGCCGAAAAAACCAAACAATCCTCAACTACAGATAGGGCACATACTCGCTGTTTAAACGCGTCCAGTTAAGTGGACGCAATATACGTGTGACGATCTCGTATGTCCAGTATACTGGACAATGGCATTCAAGGTGTTAATGAAAAAAGGAAAATAATGCACACTGTGAGTATAGGTGCTGGTGAAATTGCTGGAAAACGTGGAAGAGGACGAACGCGTGCTGAGCAACGTGGTGGGAGCCCTATGCGAGTGCCTCAAGTTCGAGCACAACCGCACCACCCTGAGAAGAGCAAACGGCATCCCCCATTTGGTCAACCTGCTCAACTACACCTACCCCCCGCTGTTAGAAAACGTGCCGATGGTGTTGCGAGAATGCGCCGAAGACGAGGACTCCATGCGGATCATCGAAGAGTTGGACGGCGTGAGGCTGATCTGGTCGCTGCTCAAGAACGATTCGATCAAGGTGCAAGCGAACGCCGCTTGGTCGCTGGTGCCTTGCATCAGATACGCGACCGATTCGGGAGAGATGGTGAGGTGGGTGGATAGAAAATAGCTTGTTTTATTCGGATCAAAAGTGCCTTTGCTTGACTCGAAAATCTTGCTTCCGCTCGGCTTCGCTAGACGCACCGCCTCCCAAATAAGAAATTCGCATATCAAACAAACTACCACTTCTTATCCTAATAAAACAATCTACTATTTTCCACAACTAGCTGTAGAAACTTTCATTATTCACTCCTTTTCGAACAGTGAAGTGTTTTTTACTACCAGGGTAATTTTCGACATTTTATTAACCACTAGTCGGGCATTGCCCTAGCTTCTCAGGTAGGGCACTGGCCGTTACTATCTGATCCAAAAAACACAGTCTGCGATCAAGAAGATGTATCCCTTGTTATCCAGGACCTCCCCTCTCTCGCAGGAGAACAAGGTCCTGGTGTACAAGCAGATCATCAGACCTGTGATGACGTACGCGTGTCCAGTGTTCTGCAGCATCTCACCTACTCATATGAATAGGTTACAGATGCTTCAGAACAAAGTACTCCGTATTATCACCAACGGTGATAGATACTCTCGAGTGGCAGATCTCCACGAGAGATGTGGTAATTTGCTTAGAATCAGTAAATACATCCTGAAAATCGAGAATAGATTCTACAAATACCACATCGCTGGAAGTGACTTTATCCGGAATATCACTGTTCGTCGTGGCATATAGCCAAAAAAGTAGTTGGCTTCTGTTGAATAAACCGAGAAAGAGTTGATATTTTTATCACATAGAGAAAGCAAATTCTCAATGTTTCTCCTTATATGTATATTCATTTTTTCATTTTTTTTCATGTTCATAATTCATCTGAGAATATTCCTTTCCAATGCTTTCACCTAATCAAGGGGTTCAAACTTGAAACGATGGAAACTTGTTATTTTTATAGACCAGCAATCGCAGATTCGTGATTAGGTTTTCTCATTTTAGAATTTCTTTCCACGTCCTGTATGATGAATATCAATTTGAAATACACCCACAGACGATAGGTCGTGTGCACGATGACCGACCCTGGAGGCAAAATATTGGAACACAACCTCACTCTTCTGTGAATTATTGAAACACAACCTCACTTTTTTATTTGGTTAGAGAGGAATCAAAGGATTGAAATAGTTTTTCACAATATTATGGCAAACGAATCGTTTGCTGCCTTCGCATTGTGCTGTTGAAAAATAGTAATAAATAGTAATCTCAAATAGTTTTCATCATGAAATTTTGTCATTTCTTTTTAAAATTCCTTCTGCCACTTCTGCAATACTAGCTAATACTGTTAATAGATTGAAAGTGTCTACAGCACACACGATCATATTTCGTCAGCATGTCAGACCAGTCCTCCCGTTTGATTGCATGAATCCAATCTTCTTGCATTATTTCAGAAATTTCATGTGTATTTCTATAAGCTCCTATAGCAGAAAGAATTCCGATGAGAAATCAGAGAAATTAGCAAATTTCAAAAATGAAAACTATACGTGAGTGACTATAGTAGGTACTTACTTTTGAAACATAATGTACCAACAGGATTCCTTAGTCTTCTGCTGCAGTGTTTGTGCATTGTACAACAGCACAATGTGATGGCATGAGCGAATTAATGAATAGCCAAAAAAATACGATTCGTGATCCAAAATAATTGTGAAAAACTATTTCAATCACTTGTAAGCAAATAAGAAAAGTGAGGTTGTGTTTCAATATTGTGCCTCCACGGTCGGTCATCTGACAGTTCTTGCACGCAATCCATTATAGGTGCTTCGTGGGCGGTCTGGAGCTGATAGTGAACCTCCTCAAGTCCACCGACAACCACGTGTTGGCCAGCGTTTGCGCAGCTATCGCCGAAGTGGCCAAGGACATCGAGAACCTGGCAGTGATCACCGATCACGGAGTGGTACCCATGCTGGTAAATATGGAGCCTCTTTTCATTTTTCAACACGTTAACTGCCAAGAAGCCCAAACGTTAGGTCTCACATGCTTGGTTAAATCGGCTACGAAAGCCTAATAACGCTGGGCTCTCACGATATAGGCTTTTGTCATCGCAACTCTGAAAGACTCTGTACAAAAAAGTAAAAAAGCGCTCCACAGGTGAACCTCGTCAACACCGAAGACGTCGAACTGCGCCAGCACCTAGCCTCCGCCATAGCCTACTGCTGCGCCTGGGGCTCCAATTGCAAGATGTTCGGCCGGTTGGGCGCCATCACGCCTCTGGTGCAGTACATGGCCGACGGCGACGCCGACGTCAATCGCACGACGGCGTTGGCATTGTTCCATCTATCGAAGAACCCCTTCAATTGCATCACGATGCACGAGAGCGGAGTGGTGACTTTCCTGCTCAAAGCGGTGTCTTCTAGCAATTGGAACTTACAGGAGGCCGCTGCTGGTTGTTTGGCGAATATCAGGAAGTTGGCGTTGGAAGCTGAGACTGTGCATTTGATCAGGAAGAAGGATGAATCCAGCGAAGAGGAGAACGAGCTTTAAGAATTTTGTGCCAGATCACTCTTCTCTTTCTTTTACAGGATGAAAATGAATGATGGAGGTGTTTCTTCGTCATAACTTAGTTCAAAAAGGCCATGATGTTAACATGTGTCGTATATCGACAAGATCTTGTATCTCCAAAACGGAGCAAAATGTTTATACACACTATTTTTATGAAATGAAACAGAGAATCACCTCCTATTTTTTTGCATCCATTTATGCACACCCTATATACTCTGGTGATTGTTGCATTAGCTCAATATGACGTTTTATTGTTGCCTATTGAATTAATATATTTACAATGTGGTATATATTTTATATTATACAAAGTACTAGTAGAAACAGTTTTGCTGCTATTCCTTTTATATACTATATGTATCTGTCAATAAAATCTAATATTGTTGAATTAAATAAACTAGCTTCGGTTTTTTTTTCTCAATAAGGGCTACCCTGATGTTTATCTGATAGATCTATCATTCAAATCTCAAAAGTAATTCGGCTCGAAGGACCACTTTGTTGTTGAAAAATCTCAATGGTAAAATTTTGAAAATATCAGAGCTTTGACTATCATAGAAATATTATGTCAAGTAACAAAGGAAAACTACTAGAAAAAGCCTTCCATCATGGCAATCTTCAGTTGTCTTCAACAGAAGGTATAGATATATCGAGTCGACTGAATTTTCTGTAAATAGAACATATCTTTTCCATGAAAGATGAACATAATTTCAATAACAAAAATCTTCACAGATTCTCAAACATTTCATCTCTACTTCCTTACAAGATGCTGATGCATGTTAACACAATTTGTAACAAAGTGAAGTCATCGTCCACCAATATTCTAATGTAAAGTAATCTTAGGTCTTGCTTCTATCTACTTACCTATATTTTTATAATAAAGGTATTATGATAATCTGTCAAGTAAGTCACATTGGTGGTTACTTCACATATTTATTTCAGTTTAATGTCAGATATAATATGACATAGTAGAGAAACAGAGTCGACTTGATTGAAAAAAAAAAACTGTTTTCCTCCTTAATATTATTCCACAAATAAAATTGGATTTTCACTTCATATATTGGAATTCTAATAACAAAAATCTTCACAGATTTCCAAACAGATTAATGTTCAGCATGGAAACGAACGTATTTTCTCATTCAACTGACTTATTGTATCCCAACTACGTAAGTACTACGTCATAGGATCCCTATAAAGGTGTATTGGAATTTTTGTTTTTCTGGAGATTATAAATTCTTGAAAATACCTTTTTTGGCAAAGAATTTCAATTTGCCGCTCTATGAATCAAATAGTTTTGGTAGAGAGTTATTTGGCATTACTCGAAGTTGGCGACAAAACGACTCAGAATAATAAAGTAAAAAAAAAAAACGAAATCTTTTTCTCGAAATTTTCAGTTCTATTTTCAGTTAGAATTTCAATAGGAAGTTTCCCATATCAAAATTGACACACATACCACAATCTTCTTCAAAAGAATTATATAAGCTCCATAATTCCTCGATGATCATAATTATACGGGTGGTAAAATTGTTTTATGGTCGATTATTTTTGGAAAACTATAAACAGTTTGATAATTATTGATGACTTTCAGACTCAGTATTTGTGTTTCAATGCAGGTATTTCAGGTTTGTCACGCATAATTTATAGATATAATTCCTATCAATTAAACTTTCTCTGACTCTTTTATGACCGCAATAATTTAATAATGTTCATATAATCATTTTTCATAACTTTATATGTTACTCTAATAATTTCTTCCATGAAGGGCTAGGGGGTGATTATTGTTTCAAATCATTTCGAAGTTTTAGTTGCTAATCCCAATAGGTATCCATTAATATTTAGTCAATCAATATGACAATATATATTCGCTAGAATAATAATTACAATTATTATATGAATATTTTCTTCACGTATCTCTACCTAATAGTCATGAAAGTCACGCCTCTTCAACATCTTCAGTAGTTGAATAAAATGATTACATTATTATAGTTACCTTCAGATGCACATTAGCGTTGTGATGATGATAAATACTATATAGCACAATATAATTATTGTACAGGATGATTGTTTATATTTTACTCAATAGCTATAATATTAGTCATATAAAAACGTTTAAATGGGCAAATATGAAAGTATTTCTTATGGACATTCGCAGAATTCAGAACAAGGAAATGCAAACGAACATCGTAAACCCAAAAATGTATAAAAACGAGTATTTTTTAAATGGATTTCATTTCCTTAATCGGTAGTGCTCTTTCTTCTGATTACAAATATTTTGTTTTATTTTTTTATCTCTTGGACGGCACGAAAAGAATATATTATAATGTTCGAAGAACATATAATGTGCGTAGGTACCTAGATAGAAAGAGGAGGTAGGTATTGGATATTTTTTAATGTGCAAGAAAATTTTGCAAAAGGACTATAACACTGGTATTATCAACTATAGGCAATATGGCTTCCGTCATCAGAGATCAACTGGTGACCTGCTCGCTTATATACGTCTCACATATATGGCAGCAATCTACTGAAAAATATGGTGAAACCTCAGCCGTGGCACTTGATATCTCCAAGGCATTCGATCGAGTCTGGCACCACGAACTCCTCGCCAAGCTTCCATCTTATGGCTCGCCTTCCCAGCTATGTTCTCTGCTAGCTAGTTTTATCTCAAACAGGTCTCTCCATGTAGTAGTCGACGGAGTTTCATCTGACTGTCTTATCATAAATGCTGGTGTTCCGCAAGGATCAATTCTAGCACCAACACTATTTCTACTCCATATCAACGATTTGTTGAAAGCAACTTCATGTCCAGTACACAGCTTCGCGGATGATAGTACCCTCTATACCGCCTTCTCTTCCAGGGCTCCAATACCAGCCAGGCAAATCAGAAACGAACGAGGAAGAAATGTTGACAACATAAATATGGACTTGGTAACAATTCTCGAATGGAGATCCAATAACTTGGTAGATTTCAATGCAAACAAAACACAAGCATGCCTTTTCTCTAGAAAAGCCGATCTCACTGTGCCAAACATAAGCTTGTCAGGAGTAACCATACCTTTGAAGACATCTATTTCGATGCTTGGTAGCAATAACCTTCCTTTGGAAAATTGCTAAAAGTGCATCCCAAAAACTTGGTATTTTGTTTCGGGCCAGGAGTTATTTCACTTTCAGTCAGCTGCTCATGATCTACAAGGCACAGATCCAACCTGTCCTGGAATACTGTTTCCATATTCGGAGTGCAGCACCCAAACATACCCTGAAACTGTTGGATTCTGTCCAAAAAAGGGCAAATCGTCTCGTGGGTGATGCCTCGCTCACAAACTCACTCACTTCTCTGGAACACCGTAGAAAAGTTGGCGATCTGGCTCTATTTTATAGATATTTTCATGAACGATGCTTTTCTGAAATATCACCAATTGTTCCTCCCTTGGCAGTCTCCGCGAGATTAACCCGTCGAGTTGAGGCTTCGCATCTCTTCGTGGTCACTTTGGAGACCTGCAGAACATCCCTTTCCAAAGACTCGTTCATCCAACGAACAGCGAAGCTCTAGAACACATTGCCAAGGGAGGTGTTCTCCGAGGCATATAACCTCCAGGAATTTAAGAAGAACACCAATTCTTACCTTATTTCCCTTGGTTCTCACGATGTTCTCTGAACATTACAGGATATATCCCCTTTCGTGGGAACCAGAACATGAAAAAACTGTGTGGGTGTCGATGGAGGTCAATTTGAATATTTGTTGTAGATAAACATTCAATAATTTATCCATTAGGTACATTCATTTACTCACCATTAGAAAACATACCACTTGAACTCGAATATCTCGAGAAAGGCTTGTTGGAATTCAAAAAATGTCACTCTGTTAGTGTCAGAATTAAAATACTTTTGCAATGATGTATAACATGACCCTTATTCCCTATTCAAATTACGGAGGGAGTTGGGAGTTGCTCTGGGGAGTTGACGGTTGAACTATGTATCATTTTTCGTGCGTCAAACGATGACCGCCTACAAATAAAAACCGACGTGTTTCGTTGTTTTTTTGAAAAATCATTTTTCTGACAGTTATCAATGGTGGGTAGTATCAAGTGGACCAACCGGTACAATCGAAATCAGAAGTGTTTATTTAAAAAAATACCAGTTTATGAAAATAAAAAATACTTCATATTTGCCCATTTAAAAGTTTTTGTCTCGGTTTTTGTAAGACCAATATCAACTGAGATATCTCTTGAGTAAAATATAAACAGTCACCCTGATGTATAAGGTGACCTGATGTCCCTGATGAAATAAAGTGCACAAAAAATATTGATGATGATATGCGAGTTATTCAAATATTTTGTAATTGAGATAGTATGGATATATTCAAGCTCTGTTTCAAAACAAATGAGAAATCGATAATATTATCAAAAGAGGTGAATTAAAAAAAGCTTGAATGATTGCAAATATTATCTAGGAAAAAAAAGATTTGAAAAGCTGTGATTTGTCGAGGTCTAGTTGATCGTTATATGAAATGTTATATATAAGAATTTCAACGTTTGTTGATTTTTAATGATACCAAAGTTTTCTTACTCCAATTTCAACATGTGAAATTCCAAAATTCTTCCTATATATTATGGTTATAAAAGGTTGACTTGTCAATTTTTTTTAAACTCATTTAATGCTATCAAGCACGCAAAGATTATAACGTTTTAGCTGTCTTTATGGCCGATTTCAAATGTTATGTCCTTAATATATCTGGCTGAATAATCTGTTGTTGATTCGAAATATAAATAATAAATAAATATTCATTCATCATCAATAAAAATTAATAAATGAAGCTTGAAGAAGCTACGGTAGTGTAATGTTTTTGATAATTTTGTGGAAATCTTATCGTTTATGAAGCTTTCACATGAAAACATGGTTGTCTATAATATGTTCCCAAAATCAATGCAGTTTAGTATAGGTTCCTGAACAATACATCAAGAAAACTGAGAATCAGAGAATATAGGTCTTATATAATGATTCAATTAACAGGAAATACTGTTATCTCGTCTTGTCGTCATCGATTCTTTTTATTCAATAGAGGTCAAGGAATGCATATCCATGTATATTGACACGATAGTAAGACATGTTTGTTGAAGTTTTTTCATAATTAGCTATACTCTTTGGCGTACCTATACATAGTGAGAAGTAAATGGACTATGTAGTAAATTGCTCAATACGAGCAACTCTCCGAAATTTTCAAGATACTTGTGCTAGCAAGCAATGACAAGGGCATTAATTTTCAACGTGTGATCCCCTCAAACACTTTCCTAGGCCATCAAAGAAATTTCTGCAGTCGTTGGATTCGCACCCACAATCCAACG